GCTTAAGACAGAGGTAGCACTGGATTGTAGCATCAGTCATCATGACTGTGACCTGTGAGAGAACGATCTTTCAGACAGTGACCTGCTACTCATTGACAACATGGTAGAAAGAAAAATCTCTGTGACAGCAGAAGGAAAGCTGGCAATTTTTCATATAGCTGGCTACATTGCTTTCAAACACAGTGAGCTTGCCGGCAACCCCTCAGACAGTATACCAGATGTCAGAGCATATCTTGAAGAAATGAACCGTGGCGTTCTGACTTATCCATCGGACAAACTGTTCACACTCACTACTCTGGCCTACTATTATCTTAGAAAGACAACTGAGCCACTGTTTAGTTTAGTTTAGTATGGGGTTTTACGGCGCTCGCAACTGCACTGTGCAGAAACAAACTCATTAGAGTCTTAACTGACTTCCCTGGATTATTTCAACTGGAGTTGGAAATTTCGCAACAAGCTTTCCAAAGGATGACCAACATTCTAATGAAGCAAGTTCAAATATAGGGAAGGCAAAAAAACCTAATGGAAACTCAGAAGGTGGGACAAATGGTTCCAAAGTAAGAGGAAGACCCTAGAAAATCTAACGAGTGGACAAAGTCCATTTAGAAGTACATGTATGCCATTTTGGGCGGCCTCGAAGCGAAAACCATGAAGCAGATTGCATATCAGGCGAGGATTACATTAGGCATCGATTGACGAGTGATGCACATGAAAATGAGACATGGCAAGAGTTGCGATCGAACCTCGCCACTCGTTTAACGGAAATCACAGACCATCAGTATGCGTTTACATTGCTGAGAAGATTAAAACAGAGACAGGGAGAGACAGTGCAGATGTTTGTAGAGAGATTGGTAAATCTGGTGGAGGAAGCCTTTATTGGGCAAAACATAAACAGTGAGCTTGTTGAAAAGCAGTTAAAGAGGTTTTTACAGATGGGCTGCTGCATGACTCTCTTAACTGGAGACTTTGCGGGCAAACCCATCGACGCTAGCCAGTGCAATAGATATTGCACTGTGGGAGGAGAATCTTAAACGGCGGTTTGATCTACGTGTAGGGAGAGCCTTTGAGCCGCCGGACACACCCATTAGGAGTCCACTTCGTATTATGCTAAGGAAGCAGAAAGGCAAATAGAGCCAACGGAGGTTGATCATGCACGTCACACTAGGGAGTATTGCACTGTGGCTGTGCACACCTGAGAGTACACGGGTGTATTCCGCGACCGGTCAATGTCGTGCAGCGCAGACTAGGTCGTCAGGTAATTACAGGCTATCACTGTTGCGCCCTGGGCCATATCAAAAGCATGTGTCCTCAATTGGCTTGTAAGAGACCAGGACAGCATAACGCCTCTGTGTCTGGGAGGTCAGGAAACTACCCGGCCGCCTTCCCAGAAAGAAGGGGACACCCGAGGGTGGCCTATTGAACAAGCCAGGTACATATCAGACAAATGGTGCAGGTTCCCTAAATTCCAGTCTTCTCAACTGTCCGGGGCAGAAACTTAGATCCTTAGTTGATTCAAGGGCGGATGTGAGTTAGATAAAGAGAACGACATTATATTTTGACTCTGTGACAAAGGTTTCCTGAAGAAAAAGAGAGTAAATTTACAGTCAGAGGGCAGAAATTGATTGAAAGTTGACAGATATATGCAGATATTCCTTTCTCCATAGGGGGTGCAAAAACGACCCATTCTTTCTACATTGTAGAAGAGACTAATAGAAATGTAATCTTGGGGGGAGACTGGCCCGTGGATAACGGCCAGAGGCTGTATTTTGACTTTAAAAAGTTGCAGGTTAAAGGTACGTACATAGATTTGGAGGAATATGTTCACATTGCATCATTGCTATGACTCTGACACGGTGTAGTGCTTAAACTACACACCACTAATATGGTAGCTGCACAAATAAGGGTACAACCATATTTGGAGCCAGACAGTGTCTTACAAATACTTCCCCCTGACCGAGGTTTCATTAGCGACAATCCATGCGCTGTACTGGGTATAGCAGTAGTCAAACTGCCTAAGAACAGATGTGTGCCAGTTATGATAGCAAACAACACCAACAAAACTATTAGGTTACGAAGAAGCTGTGCTATTGGCAGGGCAGAAAAGGTGATGAGTGAAAACATGGTAGACTATGCGTTAAGAGTCTAAAAGGGGCGACCAGTTTGAAGATGGATTAGAGAATGACCTGCATTGTCCTCCAGAACAAAGGACAAGGGTAAAAGAGTTGGTCCAAAGAAACAAGGACATATTTTGCTTTCTCCGACTTAGAGCTGGGAAGGATACAAAGAGTGTCGATGGACATCGACACGAGCGATAGGTCCCCCAATCAGACTAAACAAACCATACCACACGCCGCTCAAGAACAGGGAAATAGTAGAAAAAGCGGTGGAAGACATGTTACAAGCAAGGATAATTGAAAGGTCCCAGTCAGAGTGGAGTGCACCTGTTGTAATAGCAACCAAGAAAGATGGGAGTAAAAGATTTTGTTGCGATTACTGAGCTCTGAATGCTGTAACTCACCCCATCTCGTACCCCTTGCTTGTCATAGATGATTTGTTGGGTTGGCTGGACTGAGCGAAATATTATAACCTCCTTAGACCTAAAAAGTGGACACTGGGCAGTACCCCTCACTGAGAGTGCCAAAAAGAAATCCAGTTTCTCATGTCATGAAGGTTCATTTCAGTTCAACAGCATGCCCTTCGGTTAGAAAAAACGCATCCAGCGTGTTTAAATGCACTTGATGGATGTAGTGCTGAAAAATATGACTTCCTTTGCATCTGCATACCTAGACGACATCCTTGTCTTCAGTCCAACACTGGAGCAGCACAAGAAACATCTTCAACAAGTGTTTATTAAGCTTCGTCAACATGACCTTAGGCTTAAAATGAAGAAATGGAGTTCCATACAGCCCAAAAGACAGTATTTGGGGTTCGTGAACTGCTACAGCCCAAGACAGTTAGGGGTGCCAGGTGAGATGCTACTACAGGCGATGTACTCCCAAGTTTTCTAAAATACGAGTAGCTGAACCCATCATGGCATAGGCTAAGAAATACGCACGGTTCAGGTGGACCCCGGAGTGCGACAGGGCTTTCGACTATCTGAAGGACAGTCTGGCTGTTGTACGTTATGTCGTCACAACCTGATGTGAACAAGGAATATATACACTGTATTGTGATGCATCTGACGATTACACTGGTGCTGCCCTTATACATGTACAGACAGCAGATGACGAAACTGAAGTCATACCAGGGGTCAAGATCTTAAGAATGAAAAGCCAATTTACTTTCTGTCCCACAAGTCGAAAAAGTCTCAATGTAAGTAGTCAACACAAAAAAGGAATGCTATGCAATCTATTATGAGCTTCAGAAGCTTGACTTTTACTTGCACAACAGCAAATTCACCATTAAGACGGATCACATGCCTCTTAATCTTAAGTGCCTTCTGTCCTCGCCTATGCAAAACAGGCGTGGGCAAACCTCAGCCCTTAGCATTGATGGGTATAACTGCACAGTGGAATACATCAAAGGATGGGACAACACGTGTGCAGACTTGTTGAGTAGGTCTCCCTCCCCGCAGGACACACCAGACGGAAATGATGACATCCCTGACATCAATGACAATACCAATACTTATGAGGTAAATGTCATTAACTCAAATAGAATTGAGCCGGGAGACTATGCAAATTGTGAGGTTCCACAAACCAGCTCTGAGGGGTTCTTGGCCAGCGAAGATTTTAATGTCGTAGAGGAACAAGGTAAAGATCCTGAAATCAACTTGATCAAACGAATGCTGGAAAACTAGACTGCCAATAGCAGTATGCATAGTCAGTTCATGATAGTGGATAAGAAAGTATACTTCATATCGGACAAAGACGATGCCATGCGACTTCAAGTATGCGTTCCCGCACATCTCCAGGAGGCAGTGGTGAAACAATACCGTGACCAGCTGGGTCATAAGGGAATAGATAAGGCGTACACCAACATGAGGCTAAGGTATTATTGGCCAAATATATGTACAAATATGCATGTACCATATGATAATATGTCAGCCGCTGTACTACATGTACTTGCAAACAGAGGAATCTGACGGTAAGACAAGCCCCCATGCAAGACACAGACCTGCCTCCCAATCCGTTTGCAAAGATATTGATTGATATATCTGGTCCATACCCAAAGACCTGAGCAGGAACTCTTATAGTGCATTTCGTTGACCAGTACAGTCTATGGCCAGAGAGCTTCACTGTGCCTGGCAAGACAAGCCAGACGGTAGAAGAGATAATTTCACGTTTTGGGACACCTCTACAGATCATACAGATAATGGACCAGAAAACACAGATCAACTGATGCAGGAAGCCTTGAAAAAGCTTAACATTCATCACATCACCACGACTTTTTCGGGAGTCTCCCACCGCCATTGGGAGGATTGACATCTCTGGATATGGAAGTAGATGCTGTACCTCTTGAAACTTCATCCAACGGAGGAACAAGAGTGAAGGACGAAATTAATTCTGAATGCCACTATCAAAATAGAAAACCGAAAAGGCAAAACACAATTGAAGGGAATAGCCAGGCAGCCCCGGTAAAAACTGTTCAGGACAAAATTAAAACATAACGGCCTTTTTACTAGTGATTGCTGGTGTTCTTGATCATAAAGTCATTATGTAGAGGAAAAAGAGTGGGCATTGTTAACTTATGGGTGAAATTCTACTTTCTCGTCTGATCCAGTGACTAGAAATCCTTATGTGAGTCAAATAAAAACTACCACCAATGCCTCTCCTCTCGGTTTATCGAAGTAAATTCCTAGTAGATTGGGTGTAGGCTAGTGACTATCATAGACTCATGTACACTGCTAAATAGTTGTCTGTTCAACAAATGTTATAGCCACTGGCAGGAAACAGTAGTTACCCTTCTGTAGATTGTAGGACCTCAAAGCTCATCCTTGTTTTGAAACATAACATTCATTGTTTGTTGATTGTTAAAACTTGCAAAAATATTACATGAAATTTTTTTTTCATCTTTGCCTAATAGCCTATATGATCATGAGCCAGAGTGGTGTAACCAGTTCGACAGTAGTATAAGTATAGTTTATAATTGAACGTACTGTTACACTGTTGACACTTCTTTTAAATGTTACTCGATGTAGATGTATTCATTTAAACAACAACAGAGAACAAGTCACACAAACAGCTCTGAATGACATAGAAAACAAAATATGACTATATAATTTTTATCAAACCACACAGTTCACAGTCAATAAACTAAATATAATTTTATAACAATATAAACATATTTCAGACAGAAAAGCAAACCAAAACGTGCAAGTCCCAAATTCATCAAATTTTCAATCGACTTTCCATCTTCTGTGAGTGTTAGGTCATTATGACGGTCCAGAGAACTTGTAAGTGTAAAGATTAAACTGGTGGACCTTTAAAATATGATTCTTGTGGTTCTTCATGGTTCGTTCCTAAATGCACATTATAAAAGGAGGGCGATATAAAATCTGAAGCATTCAAATGGCACTTACGACCCATGATTGTCACTTGAGTGCCTTCATGAATGTCGGAACCTTCTACAAACTTGGACTGAACATCTTTAGCAGTATATTTCAGTTGTTCTAACCGGCCAAAGCTTGTCCGACGAACGGCTATAAAACACTTGCTGGATGGGTTGTAGTATATTCTCGTGAAAAACTGTCTAGCCACAACATTTGTCACAATCACTATAATGAAAAGAAGGGCAACGGCACAGCACAAGGTTTGTATTTCCCCAGTAGTCCTCTTCTCTGGCTGTGTCTGTAACCCAAACACAATAACTCCGGTCGATATCATTCCTGTGAGAGTCACGGTTAATCGAAAACTTGTAATCCAGTTCTTTAAATTACTCTCGTAAATGAGTCTGAAGTCCCTCGAAATTCCATCCACTTTGTATTTAGGAACAAAACTTCTCTTCCCTTTTCCTGCGATGCGGCTCTGAAGATGGCGTCTTGTCAAGTGCAGGGGTTGCAAAAAGTGATGACAGTACTTTAACTGAAAATATGAAAAATTATTAAACATCACGAAACAAAAATGTACACCTAACAAATGATATATTAAGCTAACAAGAAACAAACAAAATTTTGCCCTGCACATGACCTACAGAGAAGAGGGTAGGGGCCACGTGACACACAGAGAGTAGGGGAGGGGTCACATGACATGCAGATAAATGTTTGTTTTAGTCAGGTTTTACGGCGCTCGGAACTGCATCATAAGGTCATATGAGCGCCAAGGGGTAGATGTCAACAGAGAAGTCCAAACAGGGAATCAGGCTTACTCTGGTCACCTCTCTAGCCTCAACAGTACAAAGTCTGCTTTAACTATCAAGACACCCCGGAAATAGCAGTTCACAAGAGAGTGACACATATACAAGAGAAATTGAGAAAAAATGACGATAGTAAGGATGAGGACAGAAAAAGAAGCAGTTCCCCCATGTTGTTCGGCACAGTAAGAGTATGACATTGATAAATCAGCCCATTTACAATTTTACGGTGCATAAAGACTCTTCAGTCAGTAGCACTGCCCTGAGACGGTATGCAGATAAAAGGGGGAGGGGTCACGTGACATACAGAGAAGAGAGGAGGTGTGGCGTTACACACAGAGAAAAGGGGAAATGTGACGTTACACAAAGAGAAAAGGGGAGGGGCCACGTGACATATGGAGTAGAGGGCAGGGGTCACTTGGCAGAGAAGAGGGGAGGGGTCATGTGACATACAGAGGGGAGGGTAGAGGGGAGGGATCATGTGACATACGGAGTAGAGGGCAGGGGTCACTTGGCAGAGAAGAGGGGAGGAGTCATGTGACAAATAGAGGGGAGGGATCATGTGACATACAGAGTACAGAGTAGAGGGGAGGGGTCACTTGGCAGAGAAGAGGGGAGGGATTATGAGACATACAGAGTAGAGGGGAGGGGTCCAAGACATATATTATATAGATAGAGGGGATCAAGTGACTTACAGAGTAGGGGAGAGGGTCTCCTTTTTTGAGAAAAAAAAATCTTGTTTGTTTGTGGCCCACTTAACATTGCTGGGCTTATCACACATTGTCATTTAAAACATACTGAGACACAGAGGAGTCCGTTAAAACCAAACCTGGAACACTTTACTAAGAAAAAGATGGTAGGCCTAAACCCAAAGAAAATAAAATCTCTGATTTTATTCTTTGCTCTTAGAGCAATCTCTCTAAACAACGGAAAACAGAGATGAATTGAACAAAATCTTGCGGTCCAGCAGATTTCGGTTTAGCGGACTCCATTGTACCATGCATCTTAAATGTTTGCTACAAAGACACCAGTGTTTTGTCTTCCAATAGAAATTGGCAAACACCAAGTGCTTTCCGTTTCTCTTTGGTAATACAAGACTACTTTCTGGTCAGGGAGAGTGATAAAAAACAATCCCACATGGGGTTTGGAAGGCAGGTTTATTATTATGTTTTAGAGCTCAGGCACTATCATCATTTTTTTAAAAAGCCTTGTAATGATGATAAAAACACCTGTTTTTCTGTATTTTCACTGTTTTTTCCACAACAATCTACAAAGCCAACACTATCTCAGAAAAAAAAATTGAGTATTTTTTGCCAGCCATGAGAGACACATCCAAAATGAGCCATACTTCATTCCTTCTGTCTTCCTCAACAAGACGGGTGGATGTCTTACACAATGTCGATATGATGTAAAAAAACCAAAAACCAAACGAAAGGGGGAGGGATGGGAAATGGCAGTTTGAATAGAGTAGGTGATTGTCTTGTGGCTGTGAGAGCAGGTTCAACTGTATTTGTGCACGAATGTACTAATCTATTGTTACAACCACACATGATGATATCACACAAAAGTCATTTTTGGGTAATAGATACCAGCTGAAAAAAGAGAAAGGGGAGAGAGGGGGAAGGATATGAATAGTCAGGAGTCAGAGTAGGCGTAACTCCATAGAAATTTATACACAAAATAGGAATTAAAAACGGAGGTCGAGTGTATGGTTATGTGTTATATGATATTAGTTCATGTTTTCTGTACGTTATGTGGTGTACCCCATATTATTTCACATGTAATGTCGTACCTGTATCATTCATTGTTCCTGTTAATCCCTGTTCACAGATGAAATCATCATCTACCGTTTATAATAAATGAACTACACTGAGAGGTCTTTCTTCATGATGATTTCATCGCTATGAGAGCAGCCACACTAGCGTTCTTCATGAAGGTATCAGCCTTATGAGCAACCCACCAGTCCTCATCCCACAACTTGGCTACATGGTCATAGGCCCTTTCCGAGGCTGTAACTATGAAACCGGAGAAGGAGACGTAGGCTGAGTATTTATGTATTAATTTTTCGGGGCTTTTTTTTTGTGTTAGATTTTTCTACATTTTCTACATTATTTTTTTCCTCATTGGGTGGCCTGGTATTATTACTATAGAAAAGGTCCACATCCCGTTACATTGCCGATTTCATGCCTTTACCATGTATTTTTGCCTCCTGATTTAGGAAATGTAACTTAAAACTTTCGCAAACGTCTTAACTCACTCACTGCTGTTGCCATACCTGTGTCGGTCAATAGGCTACGACCGCTCACTATCGCTACAGCACCCCTCTCGTACGCATATTTTCCTCTTTATTTCTACAAATTGCCGACACATATATGCGGCCGCAGCATAGCCCAAATACTAAAGTAACATCCCTTTGACCACTCAGAGTAGTTTCACTTTATTACAATGATTTCCCTTAAAGTTCTGCGTATTTTAGTAACGGGAGCTCCCTTTGTCCTATTTCTGGGTTTTGTTTTGAACGTCGGGCGGCCGAAGTCGGTAAAACGCTCATGCCGATATGAATAGAAAACGGCTCGTAATTTTAGAGATTCTGAATTCATATGACTCAATGAATTCTGATTTAGATGATGCAGTGCAGAATAATGGTAGTGATGGTAATTTGAGATGAGAGAAAGAGGCAGTGGGCTAGTACTAATCTAGACCTTGAAATCTAGTACAAGAGTCTAGTACGACAACTAATGATTCAAGCATCTAGCCAAAGACAATATAAACTTATCAATTTAGTTTTCTTTGTTTTGTTATATGTATTTTTGTGTGTACTTTAGGACAGAAACAGCACCGCTCTCACAAAAACAGCAAAAATATTGTACTGGCTAGTTTGGCCTAAAAAAAGTTTGTCCCCAAAATTAGTCAGTTTTTGAAAAGCTATAAAACATGAACAAAATAACATATATTATTATATATACACATATATATAGTAAAAATAAAATTCTTTCTGTTCTGTAAAGCTCAACATCTCTTACTGAAACTGGCATATTTCATAAATCTAACATAAATAGGTTTAGAGTAACTGGATTTTGAAAAAGGTAAAAAATAGCTGGCAGGCAGCGGCTTGGTCTGAGCAAAGGTGCCAGCAGCGAGTGAGTTTTAAACTAAAATCGGTTTGGACCTTTTCTATAAGGCCAGCTCTTTTCAGACTCAAGTCCCAATATAATTTTTATCTTTTCGGACTCGACTCCGAAATAGGTTTTATCTATTCGGACTCGGGTCAGAAAAAAAAGTTTTATTCATTCGGACTCAGCTTCCAAGTGAATTATGTGAGTGTAAGGAGGGTACATAATATAACTGTTGTCAGTGGATTTTATGTTAAAATAGGATTAGAACTAGAATTTCCTACTAGGACTGAGTAATTAAAAAATTGTGTCAAAAGTAAAAAAGACTGCACTCTCATTAGATCTACCCAATGGCAGTGTCAAAGTACATGTGCAACCGATAACTCAGGCCCAGGGTCTAGTAGTAGTAGTAGTAGTATAGGGTTTTACGGCGTTCGCAACTGGTAAGGTCATATGAGCGCGCGAAACACAAGTCGTTTACTTTCGCAAAAGTTCACTGCACGGTTGGTTAGCTTTCAGCCTTTAAAATGTTAAAATCTTTAAAAATCAGTGTAGATATACATAAATTTTCGATCTAAAACAATTTTTCAAGTAACATAAAAATTTTAAATAGTATTAATTTCACTCTACAACTCGCCATAAAGGCCAATGGCCTTTATAAAATTCAAAATTCTGCTGGGAACAAAGACGAAAAAAATGTCTTGCAATTTCTTGCATTTATAGTATTTCCTTCGGATCTCTCCAAAGTCCAGACATTTGGTGAAGATGTGTCTAATGGTAAAATCTGTGTTGCATCCGACACAGAACGGCTTCTCATCTCCTTGTAGGAAGTATTTATGGGTCAAGGCCGTGTGTCCGATGCGCAATCCAGTAAAAATGACTTCGTCTCTTCTGGAGAGGTCCGAAGGATTTCGCTGTTCTAGTTTGGGTTTTATTTCATATAGTTTATTGTTTTTCTGCTTTTCCCAGTGGCTCTCCCACAGACTGGAGGTGTACTTTTTTACTTTATTTCTAAAGTCAGTCTGTGGGAGAGTGTTTGTTGTTGATCCCAGCAGAAGGGATGAAGCTTTCTTCGCCAGGTCGTCTACCTGTTCGTTTCCTCGGATGCCCACATGGCTAGGTATCCATGCGAACATGATGTTTTTTCCTGTTTCGGATAGTGTATGAATTTTCTGTTGTAGCCTAACTATTTTTGGATGTAAGAGTGTATAGTTTGTGAGTGAAGTGATGCAAGACAGAGAGTCAGAAAGGATAAGGAAAGATTTGTTAGGAGAATTTTCTACGGAGTCCAGTGCCATGTCAATGGCAGTGGCCACCGCAGAGAAAATGGAGGCTTCAGGATGGAGTCTCCTCTGGTGAGTACTATTGGAAGAGAGGGCTGCGGCGCCCACTTCATTGTCTTTTTTGGAGCCGTCTGTGAAGATGAGCTCCGCACCAGGGTATCTATCTATTAGTTTTCTGTATTCTGCTTTAAAAGTTTTGGTGTTTGTGCTTTGTTTGTTGTGTGTGGCCAGCTGTAAATCTACTTTTGTCTTGGTGAGGTGCCACGGAGGGAGGTCGGGGAAAAGAATTTGTTGGATGTCTTGTTTGGAAAAGTGTAAGTTTTTGAGGTCCTCAAGGATTCTAAGGCCGAAGGGTTTGATGAGTTTTTCGTTGTTTTGGAATCTGTTTATGGTTTCTGGGTTTGTTTTAAAAATGCAGTTGTGCGCTGGATTTTCCGGTGTTGAGCTCTGTTTAACTGCATATTGTAGTGAGAGTTGTGTGCGTCTGAGTGAAAGTGGTGGTATGTTGGCCTCGGCCTGGAGGCTCTCCACCGGAGAAGTGCGGAAAGCCCCCAGAGCGAGGTGGAGTCCTTGGTTCTGTATTGGGTCTAGCATTTTTAAGATGTGTGGTTTTGCCGATCCGTAGACTTGACAGCCGTAGTCAAGCTTGGACCGGACAAGGGAAATGTACAAGTGGAGAAGGTGTTTTGAGTCCCCGCCCTACTCCGGATTCGATAGAATTTTCAAAGCGTTTAACGCTTTCTGGCACCTCACACGAAGGTCTTTGATGTGTGGTATGAATGTGAGTTTTTGTCGAAAATGACACCGAGGAAACGAGCTTGGTCCTGGACGGGAATCCTTTCCTCGTATCGTGTCAAATCTGGCCGTAGCACACGTCTGCCTGTTCGGCAGAAGTGTACTGCAACCGTCTTTGACGGGGAGAACTTGAAACCGTTATTGTTTGCCCACGTTTCCATAGATCTCAAATGAGGATTTTTCGAACGGGAGCATATCAAAAAGTCGTCAACGTATAACGAGCTGTCTATGTTGTTTTGGAGGGTTTTCACTATGGAATTTATTTTAATTTCGAATAGGAGAGGAGAAAGGATGCTCCCCTGGGGGACTACTTCCTCCTGTTGGTGGGGGTCTGAAAGGGAGGATCCGACATGAACCTGGAAGGAACGGTTCTTCAGGAAGTTGCCAATGAAGGCAGGGAGGTGACCGCGTATGCCGAGTGCGTGCAGGTCTCGAAGAATGCCGTACTTCCAGGTTGTGTCGAAGGCTTTTTCTAGGTAAAAAAAGATGGCGATCAAGTGGCCCCTTTCAGCGAACGTCTCGCGTATAAAGGTCTCCAGGCGGACCAGGTGATCCAGAGTGGATCGAGTTTTCCTGAATCCGCACTGGAGACCGCTCAGCGAGCCCGTCGTTTCCAGAAACCACAGTCGCCTGTGAATAATTTTTTCAATTAGTTTGCAGAGACAGCTCGTTAGTGCTATTGGTCTATAATTGGATGCGTGTGTGTGGTCCTTGTTTGGTTTGGGTATTGCAATGACTACTACTACTACTAGACCCTGGGCCTTTCCACCACCACTGACTATAGCATCATCATTACTTCCACCCCAATTTATCTTTCCAAATGTTTAATTTCATTTTGTAGTGTATGTCATGTTATAGTTTTTTTTGTAATTATTTTTTTTATCACATCGCACAAAACCAATAGCCGTAGCCTCTTCCCCCAGCAAGCCGAGAGTGCCAGATTGCTGCGCGCAGTCTCATTGGTCAACATAATTAGCTTTGCCCCAGGCAAGGTCAACTCAATTTGTTTGTCTGTTTATACTAATGATGCAGGAAGGGACAATTTAGAAGATCTAGTAGAATCTTACTGGATATATTAAAGCTCACGTCTCGATTGTTATTTTAATAGAAAATTTTTTCGTAAATGCAGGAAATGAATAGGAACAAGGGTAGGAAGTTGGAACGGACGTCATGCTGGACTCAATCAGAGTCCGAATATAATTTTTGTCTATTCGGACTCGGGTCCGAATAGGCTAATCACTTTGTTTCTATAAATTTACCAGTGGCCTCTTCACCCTGGCAACTCATCAGCCAGCTTTTTTTACTTGACTTCCGTTTTTGTTTCTGATTTTGGGTATAAATTTCTATGGCAATGGAGTTAGGCAGGGACCATTTCTCCCAAAGAAAGGAGTGTATACAGACTCGGTAACCGGGAACAAAGTCACAAAGTATACAGACCCGGTAAGGGAAATCTTTTGTGATTTCGGAAAAGTTTCAGCGCCCTCTTGGCTCAGGGTAGGGCCTAGACCTAGGGTTCTTCTAGATCAATGGCCTAGGTCTAGATCTAGACCAAGGAGATTAAAAGTTCTAATAAGCTCCCTGATCTAGACAGACAGACATTAAATCATTGACCTAGTAACAAGGCTAGCCTAGATCTATATCTCTAAATGAAGATTTCGGATGTCTTTTCGATGAACGATCGTTTTTCTTCCGTTTTGGAGTTATAGGAATCTTGGCGATTGTTAAGATTCCCGCGTTTAATTCCGATGTGCGTTTTTCATACCCTCAGGCATATTTCGCTTTGGTCCCTTACCTTAACCCTAACCCTAACCCTGGCCCTGGCCCTAACTCTAACCTTAACCTACGGTTAGGGACCAAAGCGAAATATGCCTGAGGGTATGAAAAACGCACATCGGAATCAAACGCGGGAATCTTAACAATCGCCGGAATCACAATTTGAAGAAAAGATACAATGTTACAATTTCAATCGAGCAGTCACCCTCTCTATTTCTCTGCCTCTCTCTCTCTCTCTCACTCTCTGTCTGTCTGTCTGTCTGTCTGTCTCTCTCCCCTCTGTCTCTGTGTTTGCTCGCATTCTCTTTTTCTTTGTTTCTGTTTTTCTTTCTCCCCACTCCCACCTATTTCCCACTCTATCTTTCTCTCGTTCCCTCCTACTCCTGCCAACTGGGACATGTCATCTAGCACTTCCACCTGCTCTCTCTCTCACACACACACACTACACTACTGGGTCTGGGCGCCGAAACTTTCCGAAATCACAAAAGAGTTCCCCTACCGGGTCTGTATACTTCGTTATTTTGTTCCTGGTTACCGGGTCTGTATACACTTCGCCCGAAGAAAGTCCACGCATGCCTGTTGAGGCAATATCTGGAACCATTTCCATGGCCCACTCTATCTTCTCACACTCACTCATGACTCAGATTCAACTTTTATGACTTTTATGATGGGAGGTCACGCCATGTTTGCACACGGATGGAGTTTATGGAATGACTTCGTTATGGAATAGAAACAGCTCTCTATGGGAGATACTACCATATTACCTGATGGAGACCTCCAACGTTTAGGAACTGGAGACGGGAAAACTGTGCCGAAGCTGCGGTCAACATGACTGCTGCTGTAATTTGCCTTTGCCCAAACTCTAAGTAAACAGTGTACAGTGTAGATTCTAGATCTAAAATCTACTTGCAAGGCTAGTGCTGCAGCGCAGGATTCGATTGTGGTTCAAGTACTTGATCCAAATCTAGAATCTAGGTTTTTCACAGTCGTGGAAAATGTTACAGATTAGTATGCCCATCCATCAGTTCTCTTGAAATTGAAAGCCAATGGGGGCTTTCCAATGCTGAACCAACTTGCCAAACAAAAGCCGGCCGAACGTCGCCGAACGAAAGGCAAGATAGTTTTATGTTGACAGAGTGATGTCCCCTACCTAGCTGTTCTCTCTTTTGTGAATGAAAAGAAAATTTGTGCGTACGATCAGAGAGCTCTCTGTATAGACCTCTACATTGCGCCAGAGACACTAAAATATATTTTAGTGTCTCTGATTGCGCACACAATGTATTTCCGGTTTCACTATACGGATAGGGCAAGGAGGCAAAGATATTATACAAATGTACAGGTACAGTAATGAAGGCTGCTCTGTGGGCGGCAAAGCACGCCTGATAGGAGCCCTCTCTCACAGCGGAACCATGGTCAACCTGCGCTGTGCCCTACCCGATTCTCGCACTGAAATCTAGATAGGAAAGAGGGTTTTATTCTGAGGTCTTTGAAATTAGGCAAGTCAGTAGACTTATTTATGTTTTAAAACTCATTTATCTCATTACTATTACTGATGCCAAATATAGACGTCCAAGCGGCTCCATATAAAAAAAATAAATCCAGTAGGCCTACCTGCTTAATAACAATGGCGACTAACTTCTCTGAAAGAAAGATGAAGGAGGAGGGTGGGGGTGGGAAGAGTTTGTGTCTCCTTTAAAAGTACTGTACCCGGTTTAATCTATCGTAGTAGTCTCCCTGAGATCACAACGTTTACGATCCCGGTTCACTTAAGATTTCGCGGTATAAAAGGGGGGGAAATCTGTTACTCGGCAAGACAACTGCCTGAAGTGTTGATTTTATTTGTATTTGTCTGTGTTGTGTAGTGTTTGGTTATTTATTTAAAATGATGTTGCCCTCAGGGGCGGTTTGATTGTCGGTGTATATTTGGTTGTAAGTTTGATAGTTTTGAATGTGAATGTGGGTGTTGGCATTTCTTGTTGACAGATAACATTTGGGGTGTACGAGGTCAAAAGATGGGAGAGTTCTGCCCGGTTTGCACGCAAACTGCGAATGTTCCACTAAAGAACTGCCATTTTTTGTTTATTTTGAGGGCTCGGGTTCATTACATTTCTTTTAAGTCATAGGTGACCGTTGTCTCTGTTTTGTTAGGTTGCAGCTTTTTTTGAAGGGGAGTATGGAGTCCCGGATGCGGGTACAGGAGGGGGAATGGGAGCGGGGAGTGGGTGGAGGGCCTTTGTTGGATGAAGGGCGATGGGATGGAGGTTGATGTGGGTGAGATCAGGGAGATGGAGGTTGAAGCTAAGGGTGTAGGATGTGATGATTTGTGTGAAGATGATGATGGGGGGGTGATGATGAGAATGAATAAGGGTGAGGATGATGAGGGGGATGAGGATGAAAAAGATGGTTGAGAGGGTGGTGATGAAGAAGGGGTGTGTAGAGATTGTGGATGGAGAGTGGGAGAGTTAGGAGGGGAGGAAGTGGACTCCATGTTCTCCTCTGTATCCAGATTGAAGCATTGTTTAATGTTGCTAGTGTTCTGCCTTTGTCTATTTTTCTGAAGGACCTTTCGGGTTGGGTTCACTGACCCTGGGACCGTCTTCAGGACTTCTGAATATGTTTTTGCATTCCTCGGGGTCAATCCTTTTGGATATAGCGTTGCTCTTGATTGGGCAAACGTTCCGCCGTACTGGGCCCGATGTGTTCAGATGGCTCTTGGTACAGATTTCCTTGCCATCTCGCCGCACTCTGATGCGACGAGCATGAACAATTCCATCGACCTCCTGAACCATCTCTTCTTCCGTACAGCCGCTGAGCTCTAGGCTTTTGATGACACCCTTGGTGGATGTGTTCAGACTTCTGTGAGGTTGAACACATGCAGGGATGCCACCAAACGAGGTGCAGGCCAACAGTTTGCCTGACTCTGCGCTGTAACTAACCTGTATCAGGAAGTCCGTGGATCCTAGTTTTTTTTAAGGTATTTTGGTTTTTGTATTCCGAATGCTTTTAGTGGTCTGGGAATTTTAAAGACGCTTATAGTGTTGCTAGATCTAGGTCCCGCTTTTCATTTTTTGGGGAGATCACCAGAAATGGTGACCACCCCAAGGACGTTCTTTTTGCCATGTCCCAGAGGCTGACAGGTGTCAGCATCGTCGCCCGAAAGGCCCTTCTTTCGTTTGCTAGGCCAGGAGTTGCACCTGCTTCTCCTGTCTGGGACTTGTTGGGAATTGGGGTGGGAGAAATGTTTGTTTTTGGATCCATAAATTCTTCGTTTATATTTTTATCTCCATGGCTCCCCACCCGCCACCGAGTCCAACAAGGGGACACCACTCGGAAGTCCATATCTGGTGTCAGGGCTACCCTGGAGGTATACTCCCAATCATACGGCAAGAAATCTCGCCTTCCACTTCCAACCAAGATTGGCCCAAAAATCGATTTTACGAACCGGTCGCAACCGATTGAGTGCAGTAGGCCACTACACCCGCCCGTCTAGACCGAATCCAGAGCCAAAGTGGCGTGTTGGTGAGGGAAGCCACCCCTCAGCCACCAGGACCCCCTTCTCAGGCCGTACGGGTCGCACCTACGGTCAAAAGGGTGCCTCGCGTTTCGGGGAATTGGGGTCGATTTTCCTGCTTGACCGGACCTTCGGTCGACAGATCGGAAAGAAAAATAGATGGACAGAAGATATAGGGCAAGAGCGGACAGAAGATGCCACCCCTACGTCATAGAGCTAGTGACGAAGAGTGGCACCCCCCCCCCCCCCTGGGGGGGGGGGGGGGGGGGTGGAGGGGGGGAATTACACCTCCTGTAGATGGGATAGCTAACTATTTTTATTTTATTCCCCTGTTAGCGCAGGGAAGGACGAAAGAAGAAGAAAGAAAGACGATAGAAGATAGACGATACACCTAAGCAAAAGTCGCCTATGTGCACCCGAGCGTAGATGTCCATGGGTGACAAATCATCAGTGAAGGGGTTGCACCTCCTGCTGGCGGAGCAGTGGGTCTTTTATATTCCCCCGACCCATGGGGGGTGCTGATCTTCTGGTAGGAAAGATCTACACCTAGCCTTCTCGGAAACGGTAAAAAAATCTCGGAGGTCCTGTGTGCAAATTATGCACGTTAAAGATCCCTTGGTGGTCCAAAATCGATAGAGTAGGCTTCGGACGCCACCCAGGAAAAATTCAAAAATTCCCTACCAACTGAAAACGTTTAATGAGTCTCGCGCACTCATATGACCATGCGGTTGTGAGCACTTTAAAACTAAAACACTTATAGTATAATCCGCTTTTATATCGACATGCTTTGGGGAGTGGATTTGATGTCAATATATACAAATTAAAAATGTCGATAAATGAAAACATAATAGGGCTGGGTCACGAGCGCGAGAACGGAACTGAATCGCCACTCTTGCCTGCGGAACGCGATTCACGATTCACTTCAGCGGAACGCGGAACAGTATCTCCAAACGATTCCCGATTCACTCCCCTGTCGCTGACACCACCTTGTGGCTTGTTTAACCTACTGCTGAGTCGAGTCACGAGCGCAAGAACGGAACGGAACACTTAGTATGGCTCCCCTTATTTTACAAAAGATGATATAGTCCAACCCCCCTATTAAAACAAAATGAACGGGGTCCAACCAATAGACAGAAGGAATTTTATGGAGCCATTGTTTAAGCGAATCATGGGGTTGGGGGGGGGGGGGGGGATTTATGGGGGTCACTAATTGAGGTCAGTTGATAGGGCAGCGCAACAAAGGGTGTGGGGCGGAGAGGATGGCGGAACAACAAGAGTGGGACTCGCGCTCGCCAAGAGGCGTTGATATGACACTGTTCCGTTTCAGTTTCAGTCAGTGTTCCGCCACAGCTCCACGAGCGCTCGCGTACTCGCGATTCATTGAAGCCGACTGAATTGCGAATCGCCACTCTCAAATTTGACGAGCTGGACCCAGCCCTAAAACATAAAGCCAAAGAGGAAAAAACAAGGGGAGGTCAGCGGTAAAAAGACAACAATACTTTTTAAAAGCTGGTTGCTTTCTTTGATTCTCACACAATTACACAGTGAAACTGATAAGAGGCGGAGGGGAGGGGGTTGGAGTTGCGGTACCAAAGACCAAGCAACGCGAGGCACACACTACACAGCAGCGCAAACTTTGTCGTAGCATCCTTGTAATTCTTGTTTAAGGCCACTTGCTGGGGAAAATGGAAAGGCGAAGCACTGACTCGCTGACCATGGCACTTGCCAGCGACAGACTGAGAATGGGATAGGGAAGGGAAGTGAGCGATCGGGAGTGAGGGTAGGGAGGTGATGCCCAGTGTGCGAGACGCTCACGTCTGTGAGGCACTGCACTGTGTTGTAGACAACACTGTGTAGGCCCTACATGACCTACTAAAGCCTGGTGTGCCGAATATAGGCTATTTGGCGGGTATGCAGAGTTTATGAAGAACTAATGACTAATGCGTTGACCGTTAGCGTGGCTTTTCCACCCATTTATATTCGTGGGCTTCGCCAGGTACCCAGGAAGTATGTCGATAAAGCAGAGTGGGCCGAAAAAAGTCGATATAAGAGAAATTGTTCAGTGAAGATATTGAATTTGAAGGAAACATTTCATAATTGGAAAATAATAATTGTCGACATGTCAAAATGTTGATACATTGGCTGTCGATGTAAGTTGATTAATCTGTGCCCCAAAAAATTATATAAAAAAAAAATACATTTTTAAAAAGGCCAAGCTCACTTAAGCAGCTGCAATGACGTGTATACTGCTTTAAAATCATTTGTCAAGACAGAAAAGGTCAAAGAAGTACAAAGTAATAAGTGACTCACCATTTCGGCAAGGAGAGATTGTTGAGCTGCACACATTCGACTTTTTTTCTTTTTTTAAAAGTTAAAAATAATGTGTTTTCACGCCCCCACCAACAAAATCTAGATAATTCAGGAAGCGGACTTCCGATCCTGCCTGTCACAGCCAGGGCCATCCCGGGATGAAAGAGATACAACATCCCAGGAGAAAGACAGAGATACTCGATAAAAATTATTCTCCCCACTTGAGGAGGAGGGGAGATAAAGACGACAGATGTTTATTTGATAGTAAAGAAGGAGGAAAACCACACCAGAGCAGCTGCCAACCAACCACGCCATGCCTCTATGGACCCAGTCTGTAGTCAGATTTGCCGTTTAAGTTACTTACTGTAAGGAGTAGCGTTATCGAGAAGGAGAACAAGACGTTCAGCCACCCAGCACTCTTTGGGTCAGCTGCTTTATGACACTTGCTAGACGAGACGTTGAGTTTGAGGAGAAAAGTCAACAAAACCAAACGGGACACGATCAGAAACACCAAGATCAGAGAAACGGTGGAAACAACACCTGTCCCTCCGCTACATCCAGAGGCAAACAATCAGGTGATTTGGACATCTGACATGTTTGGCACCTTACCAGCTTGTCGCTATTGTCAGTAAAGCGTACAACAAAAGAATATCAAGGTACAAAGCAAGAGGAAGACCTGGATCGAGGGTGTGAAGGATAACCCGAAGACCCAAAACATCCAACCCAGCCAGTCCACCCAGCTTGCCAGAGACTGAAAGCTCTTTCTCTCTTCGGCGCCCAAGGAGGTGCAAGAAGAAGGATAAAGTAAAGTAAGTAAGCTTTGTGACATATCCAGCTAATGTTTTAGGAAACTCCAGCTGCGGCTCCTCCAACTTCTATTGATACATACGCACATAGACAAGTTCAGAAATCACTGGTTTTGGAAGGTCAAATGCCAGAGAAATCTCCTCAACTTTATAATTACTTTCAGACAACAGTCTTCGCAGAAAGCATGAAATATGAGATTTCTGGCTTTGAAGTGTTTTATTTGCTGTTGTATAAATTAAATGTACCTTTCAACACCGTGTGAGGTTAATAATGTTTAAGAAGTAGGACCTCAGAATTTAACATCAATCTTCGATAACTTATAACCAAGCCAAACAGTTGAAGAGCCTTAAAAAGTCCCCAAATCAACCTAAGTTCAGTAGTGGCCTGTAAGGGATTCGAACCAGAGCCACCTGTTTTTATTCAAGCATGGTACCGACTGAACTAGCGGAGCACCCCCTTGGAGTGTACGAACGCCAAAGATTAAACTTTCATTGTACTTTTCATTTATTATTCCATTTTTGCCATACACAGTAACTAGATAATTTCCAGGTGATCATTTTCCGTGGACTCTGAGTGTACAAATCATATTAATGCATGCGCGGTTTTACCTATCACCATTCTTCTGCAAGGTTCATTCTATTAAATTGTACTAGTGTCTGTGGAGAAGTGGTCAATTAAAGCTCTTTGTTGTTGCATGCAGAAGATTTTTTCATTGAGTATCTCCGTCTGCAGAGATGTAAACTTGTATCCCACTTGGCCGAGATGGTCCTGAATGGCAGGGTCAAAGTAGCCCGCCTCCTTAACTTAATGATATCATGATCATGATGCCAGTTACTGTTACTGTGATTCATTTCGATTTTATTCTCAATAAAACTGGGTTTGCTTCAAGTCTAAAAATCAAATTTTTGAGACATTTTTACTTTTGCTTAAGTCATACAGTTGACTCAGAAAACCACTGCTGCTTTTTCCGGCAATTTTCTTAACAAAAAAATTTAAGGAAAGAGTGTTACATATGACCAACAATTTATGTACCTGTAGTGTTAATAAGAGTTTTACTGCACTTGCAAAGCAAATAGGTCATATAAGTATCAAAGATTAGAGGTGTTACTAGAACTAGAAAGTAACATAAAAAAAGGAGGAGAGATAAGGATGATAGATGTTTTATAAGAAAAAAGGAGCACACCACATCGCAGCATTCACCAACCACCCACTCAATTTCTTTCTGAACACACATTGAGCATACAAATGAAGACAGGAGATAGTTTTTTGTTTTGTCAATCTTGTCAAGTAAAGCATGGTAGACAGTACAGCACTGACAATTATTAAAACATCAAACTTACATTGAATCATTGTAAACATTTACATCTTGGAGAATTCAAGACATTCCCTCCACAATCTCCAAAGACAAGCATACCACAGAATTCTGAAACAGACCTCGAGACTTTTAATCTCAAATAAAAACAAAAAACTTTCCAATAAAGATGACTAAAAAGTATCAACACCATGAACACTCCAATCTTGAGTAGCCCCTCTGGGAACATGGCATCACATAGGTAAAAGTATGAAGGAGAAGGACATTTCCTGAGCTATACTTTTACTTGTACAATTTCACCTGAGACAACTGAACGACATCATCAAGTCTTGCTTAAGTTTTCATAGAATTATGTGTATGGCACCAACAAAGAGTTCAACAATTGTAATTACAATAAAACCTTTGTAGGCTATAACGTACTCCCTTCAAACCCGAGATTTTGAACTTAGCGGACGTATGTACTAGCCCAAAAAAGGTGGTGACTGAGGAAGCTACTTAGCAATATTCATCCACTTTATTGCAGGAAGGGGGGTGGGGGGTGGGATGGTGTGTGTGTGTGTGTGTGTGTGTGTGTGTGTGTGTGTGTGTGTGTGTGTGTGTGGAGGTGGCACCCATGGATCTGGATAGCTAATTGTCGAAATTGAAAAGTGTAGATTTTAACTTTTTCAGTATTTTTTAATGCTATTGTTTTGTTTTAATATTTTTCTTCATTTCAAATCAAAGTGACATAGACATGCAAGCACGACGAAATCCTAATGGTGATGGTGCTGATCAAACAGAACGCCAACTTTCTTTACAATGTTACATCAGGGTTTCTTTTTTGCTGAGCCGACAAGTTGGTTGGTGACTGGAGTAGGGGGAAAGGAAAGGATTTGGAAACGCCCATGCTTGCACATGTGTGCGTGTGTGAGGGAGAGAAAGAAAGAGGAGGGCGAGGAAGCAGGCATCCACTGAGGGCAAAACTGACATGTAGCCTACTTGCAAAAACTCGCCTTCTCACTGTAGCTGCTTATGTTGCATTCCTGAATAGGTTAAAACTTCCACACTTTTGGTAATTTTTCTTCATTCTCACAATGCACGTTGTAAGTTGAACACCAATTTTTTATCACTTCAATCCCTGAAAAGTGAATGCTATAGTAGGTTTTACGCAAGTACGTTTTAGACATAGCTTTTAAAGAGTAAAAATACTAAAAATGGGATTCAAGACTTCAGAAAGAGGGGTACGTTTTAAAAAGAGTACATTATACCCAGGCATAACTGTAGTTACATTTGTTTTTGATATTTACCCTCATCCATACTGTTTTCACATATTAAACAAAAAACCGCACAACTAGGTAGTAGCAAATAAATATAAAACTCCTTTCAAGAATCCGATGATCTCGCTGCCTCCCAGCTTGGACTCTCCGTACACTCTGTCAACAAAGGAGATGGGCACCTGGAACAAAAGAGAAGAATTGCATGCTATGACTACACTATGACACAAGTCACTCTCACCGACAGAGCACACACAAAGTCAGAACAAATCAAAACCCTGTTAAATTAACCCCCAAAATTGAAAGAAATACAATTTGGCATGCGCATAGAGAAATCACTGGGATGTGGTAATAATAATAGGTACCAGAAACGAAATTTTCAAAGTAGTTGTACGCCAAACTTATCTGTTCCATTTAAAAAGCCTATATCCACTGAGCATTTTGGTATGCTACCATTCTTTAACCTCACAGTAAATTTTTAAGAAAACGGTAGTTGTTTAAAATTTGATCAAATTTGTTACAGTCAGTCACCGGCTGCAAACCCCATGCTTGACAGATAATAAAAGAGTACCAAGTGCACTAAACATCTCCACATTAACAGAGTACAATCACTATAACAAATATATGGAGCCTAATTTTTTTCAAGACTGTAAGATCATTAGAAAACAGTATTTTATTGCCTTAAACACGATGATTTGTCGTTATTTCGACAAAAACACAGAGCGTTGACCCGGCTGGCGCCGCACCGCCCCCCGCGACGAGCGCACAGCGTCACTTTTCGCCCGATTCTGTTACTTTTAGTTCGCATGACTCAGCAGCCCGCCGGAGCTCCCCGGCTCGGGGTTAATGAGCCCTGAAGCGACTTTGCCGGTGTCGGTCAGGAAGTTCGCATTTTTGACTATGTTTAAAAAGATATAACTTCTTCCCCATTCCACATAGCAAACCATTACGCGGATGTACTAAAAGCTCAATGTCTTGAGATTTATTCTGCGTTAGAGTGGTTAGTTTCTGTGCCTTAATTTTTGTTCTAGACAAGTGTTTGTAGAGTACCCAATTTGTCCTTTTTTAGTTACAAACTTATGAATAAATGATAGTTAATTTAAAAAAAGGCTTGACAGATCTCTCCAAAATCTGTGTTAAACTGACTACGAATATCATGTCTTTTACTATGAGAAATCTTAAATCTGCGCGAGTAGTAATAGTCAAGTTATAAGATAAGAAAGATGCACATCTGCATTTTTTAACTAAAGACGATCAGCGTTAGCTCTTATTTTACTATTAAACAAGAGAAAGTTCTTCTGCGTTTGTTCATGAATCATGCTGTGTCTGTGGCAGCCTGAATACAACTAAAAAGATATAATATAAGCGATTAAAAAAAGCTAGAAATTATTCTTATAACCCAATTACGAGAAGTCATCCCTATTATTCAGTCAACTTACAAAACCTAGACTTAGCGTTTTAAGAAAAGTAAAGAATTTCTGGAGTGTAACAGATACTGTTCGTGTATTAGATCCACGTTGAAGATGTATTCTAGTACTAAAATCGATTTGTACTTTTCATTGAGAAACTTCATGGTAACTTTTATAATCTTTCGAGAAAATATGCGAATATTCACGATTATATTAGACACATAAAGTTGTATTTGGAGGAATTACTTCATAGCGAATTGTGTGCCCGATGGATAAAATTGTAAAATTACAGCCATCTATTGTAAGCGCAGATACCATCTTTTCTGAGTATCTGCACCAATGTTATGTCGTTCATGTTCCAAAAGTTCGACAGATTTTGACGATGCCTTTTTTTATATATTGATTTTTTTTCATTCACGCTAGTCAAAAAAAAATTACAATTTAGCATTGCCGACTCCAGCGCGTCTAACGAAATAACCAGACAAGTTACAACGTCCGTTCTTTTTTGAGTGTCAAGAGCAGAAATGCGTGCTTTGGGTGCACTAAATGAGAATTACCATAAATACAAGGATACACCTTAAATTGTACGTTGAAAAGTACCAAAAATTAGGTCGGCCCAGACAGAGCGGCGACAGGGAGCTGACCCCCGTGACCCCGGCGTGATAAGGCGCCCGGCGGGGAACCCCCCGCGGCAACTAAAATTCCACTGTCGGTGCGCCGTGAGTGAGTTGGCTCTATACTGTAGTGTACCCTGCGTGTGGGGTCACATGCTTTCTGAGTCTCGCGGAAGGATTGATGCAAAATTATTACATGGTAATTACTTTATTCTAATAGGAAATAAACTAATCTTTTTAGTGATACCTTTTTTAAGCCGGTATTTTACATATTTCGTCTAAAAAATGATCTTTTAAAATTTTGACGGTATTTTTAAAGGCTTTATACTTTATTTTGAAATGCCAAAGGCCAAAAATATACCACGGGAAAGCCCGTTTAAAGCTCTACAGTTCTCCACCAATGAAGAGACGGTATTTAATCATCCCTCGTTCCGCGAAGCATGCGTGTAAATTCTTGAACCGGCCGACCACGCATTCCGACCGCGAGGGGCTTCGCTTTCCTCGGCGATTCTCCAGCTCCCAATAACCGGACATATAAACAACTTACACCATTGTAACGAGGAAAAGCTGAACTTTTACAAGGTGTGCGGCATTTGGGGTTTTTATAGCGAAAGAGCAAAGAAACAGCGATCGGAATTACCCCGATTTCACCGATACCACGCGGTCGGAAGGCCGCGAGTGCCCGCAAGGCCATGTTTATGCTACCTAATAATAATAATAATAAATAGCATTGGTATAGCGCATATCCCCGTTCAACAGCAGGCTCTATGCGCTTTACACTATATTATTACCCCAGCAGACCATAGAACACTCCGAAACATTCTTAGCTTCCGGGGAAGTATACAGTGCAAGCAGCTGATTAAGCGCTCAAACACTAACAAACTGACAAGATCTTTCGCTGTCTATAGCCGGGTACCCATTCCCACCTGGGTGAAGTGAGGAAAATTCGTGTAAATTGTAAAGTGCCTTTCCCAAGAAATTAACGTCGGGCCCCTGACGGGATTCGAACCCACCTAGGCCACCATCAGGTATGAATTTCTCAATGTACTCGTTTTAAATTCAAAGAACATACTTGTATAAGAAACAAATTGAGACCTGAAAATCTGTTTGCTAAGAGTGAGTTTCACTACGAGTGGGTTACTGTAGTAGTGTTCTTTCATGTCACACATAATCAAACCACAAGTTCAAGGGCAGATCCCATATCCATTGCCAAAAAACATTGTTAAAAAAACATATTCTTGAGAGTTCCCAGCTATTTCTCTGGATTACAATTATTTTTCAAAGAAATAACGGCTTAATAACGGTTGCAATTCAGTATAAATGCAGCTTGAGGAGTCTTTTATGTGAACTTACGGTGCTGATGTTGGGTCTGAAAAAAAAAAGGGTCAGTGGTCAATTTGCACATAGGCCTACATATAAATTGTACGAAAGCAAAATTTCCTCGAGTCGCTAAAAAATTGTCCGTAAGCCGGAGTTCCTCTATTCGCAAAAGGATCATTGAGTAACAGCTCATATTGCACAGAAAATTGTCGCAGCAAGAGCCCCCTTAGTTCACAAATTATCAGAGAGTAACACAGAAACTATGTGAAGTACTGCACTTACTTCTCCGATACTGTAACCAAACTGTCTGGCACGAACCATCATTTCCATCTGAAAGACGTATCCTTTGGAGACGCACGAGTTGATGAGCTTCTCCAGCACTGGTTTGCGGTACAGTCTGAAGCTGCCGGTCAGATCTGACACACCGGGACGCAGGAGGACTTGAGTTAAGTAGTTTGCTCCACGACTAATGGGGAAGAAAAGGTTAAACCAGAGATTGGCATTTTCAACACAATAAAATTATGTCAGTGTGTCAGATACAGTGGAGTCCACTTAAACTTAAATTTGCTGTATCATTTTCTTCAGTTTAGCCATTTAAAAAAAAATTAAAGCGTTGTTTTCTTTCAGTTCACAGCTGTTTTCAAAGAAACTGTGTTTGGTTTGAGTGGATTTCACTGTATAACAGTTTCCTGATAGACAGAAGATGCAGAATAAAGGACAGAGTGTCAACTAGGTCTGCCCATGACAAAGTTTTATCTTATATTTTTGGTCTTTATCCATTCTGACCTCTCTGTGACACTAACCTTCCATGTGCTAAAAATAATATTTTATTGAAATTCAAATTCTAAAAGTTGGAAAAAGCCAGAAAAGTAAAATAATGAAGGTAAAATCTTTTAAAGTTGAACAGCCCTCTGACATTACATACCTGATACACTTCCTTTTGACGTCCCATCCAAAGACACCACCACTGCCCACATATCTCGTCCCGGTGACCACATCAAGATTGCCGTCCTTTTGTTTCCTGAAAACAAAAGAGAAAAAAACATGAAATTATACAAAGATCTACAAGTACAATTTTCATTTGCAAGTTGAGCACTTATGCAATTCCCCCCCCCCCCCCCCAAAAGTGAGGTGAAGAAAGCAACACCCATCGGCAGGTTTTTTTGTTTTAGTAAGAGCAAGAGTTTACAGCACTTGCAATACAATAATGAAAATTTGTATAGCGCCAGTGTCAGTCAGGCAGCTGCATAACAAAGAAAGTTTTAGATTGGAATCCACAGGGTAAGAGATCAAAGGGAAGACCGCATAAGTGGAACCTGGAGAAGAATCACAGAAATAGATGTACAGAAAAGTGGGAAGACATGGAATAACATAAAGAGGCAAGCCCAGGATAGAGAAAGGTGGAAGGTGTTTGTCCGGGGCCTATACCCTGGTGCAGGGTGAGAAAGGCAATGATGATGATGTATAGCGCCTACTATGTAGAAGGCTGTAAGCGTTGTACAATGCCGAAAAATCACTCAAATGACAAATAACAAAACAGAAAATGCACATTATGAGCCCTTTTAACAACACACACACACACACACACAAGGGTTCTCTCTCTCTCTTTCTCACACACACACACACACACACACACACACACACACACACACACACACACACAAGGGCTCTCTCTCTCTCTCTCTCTCACTCACTCACACACACACACTCACACACACAAAAAGGCTCACACAAACACACAACTCCCAGACCCACATACAAAATGTATGACCATGTATAAAATTGATGTTCTCACACCAGACACTGCTGTCAATCAATACAACAAATACAAGAGAAAGGGAAGGTTTATGTGAGTGTGACAGCTGTCACTTGGGACACTCACTTATAAAACGCTACACGTAAAGCAATATGTGCAGGAGAAAAAAACAACTAATACTGCGTTTAAGTATTAATATATACAAAATATAAATAATGGCAAAAACAAACTTTGTAAAGCACAAGACGAAAAATCCTGGAACAAACTTTCATTCCCATGTCCATAAAGCAAGGATTTCTAATCTTTTGTCCACCCAATTTTTTTGGAGCCATTTCATCAAAATCACCCCCTTTAAAAAAAATTCAAACAAATAAAATGATCTTTTTGAGTAGTCCCCCCAGAGCAATCCACAACCCCCCCCCCACCCCTGAATACAACATAAATATTTCAACACATGTTCACTCTGTGTCAGTTTATCGTAAACAAATGCACTTTCTCTAACAAATCCCTGCATATTTCAACCCCGCCCAACAAGCTGGAAAGAAATTTATTTGTCCACACCAGTACAAGTACATCCAATTTAATAAACAAACTCGTCGGCACAGTTCCCATCCATGGCAAGACACAAACAAAGTAGCTATTTATAATGTAAACTATGTTGCAGAGAATCAACGTGTCTTTACAATACAAAAGGACTGAAAAGCCTTGCCACAGCAGGTGTCTCGGAGTTGAGAGAGTAGTTTCATTAACTTTGGCCAAAGATAAAATGCTTAGAGATAACAGGACACATGTTTTGATTCTCACAGCTTCATAAAACCAATACATAAACAACCCTTACAACACTGCACTTCCCTCTTACAATAAACATGAACACGCTTTTTTATCAACAAATCAAAAGCAAAGATTAGATTTATCTCTACATCATAAAATTGTTTTAATAATCCACATTACAAGTGCAGCTGGGATCTGTTCTTACACATGTAAAAATGTATTCAAACAGTCACTGTTTCACTGTGCGCTCTCTCAAAAGCAAATAACAAGAGATGCAAAATAAAATAAGAACAAGAGTTGTTGCTATCAACAAGCAATTTGTGAAGACTTAGCCAACAATCCCCTATAAGCATCAATTTCACTGTTTAAGTGAATGGATGTCAACACAAGCACATTAATACCATCAGAAAGCTGTTCAACTGTTCTAAGCCTTGAAGGAAAAGTATTTTAAAGAGAGAGGAAAAAACTGTTCCATTCTTTTAACAATTATACCTACATTATGTATCTTTACTTGCTTTTTTTTTTTGGACATTTAGAAATTGAATTTGGAAAAAATATTTCTTGAGTACATGCAACCAATACCTTAGAGAAACTGATAAATTGTAAAAATTGTCTTCAAACTTTGGGCTCAGTACATCTGAACAGCTGGCTGACTATATTATACATCTTTAACAAGTGCATGTAGTAGACCAAAGCGTGAGCATGATCAAATTTTTCATGGTGTGGCAGTTAGATTTCCACCACAGATCAAAACTTTAGAACCGTCCCAAAAAAAGGTATTTTTCTCAAGGGAAATTGTCATGCCATACCTTTGTACCAAATGTTCTCAAGCCACACATACACATATTTAGAAGAAGGATTTTTTTATTTTTCAATTTCTCTCACTAAAGGGCCAGCAAACAGATAGAAATATTGCCAAAAAAACAACCCCCCCCCCCAAAAACAAAACAAAAACAACAAACCCATACAAAACAAATAAAAAATCCCAATACAAATAAAACTAGCCCCCCCCCCCTCCCTTCCAAATTCTAGTCACCTCTCTTTTCGTAATTAATGCTACTGAAATTTCCTATCAAATCTTACAAGGCTGGGCTGTAATAAAGTACTTACTTGATGAATTCTGGAATGAACTTTGGCTGAAAAAAAAAAAAGATTTTTTAAAGAATAATGGGACAATGGAAAAGAAGCAAAACAATGTATGTTGATTGTCAAGCACAAAATCTCAAAGCTACTTTGCTTTCAAAAGCATCAAGGTCATAAGTCTCTCTCCACCCCCCCCCCCCCCCCAAATGAGTGCAAATTTTTTTTTTTAAATGACAATTTTCCCAAAGTATAAAAAACCTTTCCTAAATTTAGGTTGCGTAATCGCTTGCCAATGGAAAAGTGTTATTTTTTTCGCAAATATCTCTCTGTTACACTGATGGCAGCCTTGCCATCTATGATTCCTGAAAGTTTCCAGTCAAAAAGACGAAAACTAAGGAAGGAGTAGGGAAAAAAAAGCAAAAAAATTACATTTTGCGAAAAACTACAATTATTGTGAAAACTCACTATATTAACCCATCTTCATGTTTTCAAAGGCAATTTACGACGAGAATAAAGACTTTCTCAATTGTCTCCATGTTATTTTTAGACCAAAAACTGGTTGATCTTCAAAAATCAGCAAACATTTCAATTTGCATAACCTGACCCAAAATCTGCGAAATCAAGGAACCCTCCTGAAGGGGCAAGATACAATCCGTGAAAAATCATCACCATTTTACTAATAAGTTAACATGAGCACATATATGCAAATCTAACCCCTTGTTTGCTCACAAAAAGTCCCCTATCAGGAAAAATTCATTTTTTTGCAACACACTAGTTACATCTCACTTTGTTCTAGACAAGCTATTCCCGCTTATAGATAGTGGTCTAAAAATAGATATGATCGCATCGGCAAGAGAACACTGAAGACGTGGATATAGCTCTCTTTATTCAGAACTGTGAAGAAGTGAAGAATGAAACAAAACACAGTTTTTTTAGAGCGTACCAGGGACGTCCACAGCTCACATGACACCAAAATATTCGGCCACAGTAGAGGGAAGTGGTTCAGTATGAATTGTTTCATTCTAAAACACCATGTTTGGAAAATGATATAGAATGTCACACTGTGATTAGAGTACATATTATAGGCCTACCTAGTCATCTTATAACTGGGCAAGCTTTCATGTGTTGTTTTCAGACCAAGAACAAGTATAAAGAGCAGAGAAGACTGACTGAAGAGAATTATTTTGATGACTTCTTACGTGATGAGAAAGATCAGCATCCATGATAAAGATGAAGTTCCCAGTGGCATGTTTGATGCCATGTATGTAAGCGGTCCCTGAAAAATGAAAAGAGTACTTGATAACATCGAAGCTTCTGCACCCTATTCTAACTCGAACCATATCTTGGAAAGTAGAATTTTCTGAAATTAGTTTCATTGCAAACCAAGACTGTATTTCAAATAGCATTCTTATGGTTAATGTATTTTGTTTCATTTTTTTGTCAATGACCACAACAGAAGCACCTACTTCATATTTAGTTATATCTTAAAATGCTTATAAATGTTATTCAGTATTAAACCCCCCCCCCCCCAACAAAACAAAACAATAAACAAATAAATTCAAGCACAAAAAGTGAGGATACAAGAAGAGAGAAATCATTTCTACGAATGAGTATGAATTTTGCACTTGCCATGACAGGTTTATTTTTTGTTGTCTGACAAATTTACTTCACTTACCTAATCCAAGTTTTTTTTCTCTTGGTCTCAAAACCTGAAGAAAAAAAGAGAAGTTATTCTAACATTATACATCTTACCATGCAGAAAAAACAGAGGGGAAAAGAATCTAACGCATATATAGTGAAATGTATGGTACAAAATAGCATTTTGTACTGGATGTACAATCAAGTTCTTCAAATGCTGAGTTCTATACTTTATATGTTCATGTGCCATTAAAAAAAAAATTATAATGAAAAAGGTAAATTGTGAAAGAAAAAAAGGGAGAAAAAATACATAATAAATGTACAATTGTTAAAAGTAAGAAACAATTTTTTTCTCTCTCACGTAGAATTTTGCTTTCTTGGCTGAGTACATCTTAAGTTTGCTGAAGATATCATATTGATATTGTAATGGCCTCACTGTAATGCTCAGGTCTACAGTCTATGCCGGTGTTGATGGAGCATGAGGTTGGGTTCACAAATGTGTGTCCCAGAAAATGCTGGTAGAAATGAGCGCTAGGAAATGATTGATGATAAGCACTCTGCTGGGTTATCTTTAGCAAAAAATGAGCAGTACTAAACAGTATACACCATATTGTACAAGTGACTGAAGGGTGTAACTGGTAGGTTCTAACGGTTCTACTGCTTTAATCAAAACTATCCCTTCACTGTTCAGGTTCTGAAGTCTAGCATTTTCTCACACAAAGCAACTAACAGTAATCTTACTGATGTTCTTTTTTTAATCAACTCAAACAAACTTACTCTGTTAGAGAGAAATAGAGAAGGAATGATAGCAGGCACGGTCATTTGATTCAAGATCATGAACAGTCAGATTTTTGGAAGGATAAGTTAACTTACAATTCTGTTCTCCCCGTAGATACGCTGCAACTCCTTCGCAACATCCAGAGTTCCATCAGGACTACCATCATCTATTACTATGATTTCAAAGTCAAAACCACTGAAAGGGGAAAAAAAATTGTGTCCATTAAATCTTTCTAATAAAAGACTACAGGTTTATGGCAATGGAGGACCGTCCCACGTGGTAAGATGTACAAGGAGCAAGAGTAGGGAGGTGAAGAAAGTATTCTGCTTTAATATAGATTATTATTGTCTCAAATCTGGAAAACACGAATTCAGCTAAAATTAATAGATTGATAGATCTATAATATCATCATCAATGCCTTCCACCCATTGCAGGGTATATGCCACATACAAGCTCCTTCCGATTATCTCTGCCCTGGGCCATCCTTCCAAGCTCGTTTCAAATGAGCTACATCTCTCTCATGTCCCTTTTCACACATCTCCTCCATGTTTCCCGAGGCCTACCCCTGCCTCATGCTCCCTGTCACCCTGTGGTTTCCACTGGAGCGACTGTCTTGTGATGTCTCTGCTGGGCTTTCTGATGGTGCATCCCATCCATCGCCACTTTCTTAGTCCTGTTTCTACTTCTAAATCCTTTTGTCCTTACCTTTCCCAGAGTTTTTCATTTCTTATTCTATCATCCCACTTAATTCTTAGGATATTTGTCATACATTTGTTAAAATGAAAGTCTGGACTTTATTCAGTACTGTCTTTGCTGTCTTCACAGTTTCACAGCTGTAGAGGAGCACAGACTTGACATAGGAGCTAAAGAGTCAAATCTTGGTGGACAGTGAGATGTTGCTTGCTTTCCAAACTTTTGAAAATAGATCGAATGCTGACCTTGCCCTAGATGTAAAAGCAAGAACCGCCAGGGCAAGGTCATGTATGTATAGTATAAGGTGTTGCGAGCGCCGTAAAACCTTATACTATACATACATGACCTTGCCCTGGCGGTTCTTGCTTTTACATCTAGATCTATAATATAATATTCTTTTAAAAAATGGTCATCACTGTGGAGTTGGTGCTATGATCTACTGGAACAGCAACAAGCTGGCTGTAATGGAACCCAGTCTTTTCGCAGGTCATTTCGAGTGACGATATGACTGGTACTCACTGTGATAGCCGATACGGGCGCAAAGACACGGGGGTGGGGTGGGGGGTCTTTTCCTTTAAGAATACTATTCTTGGTTTAGTCTAATTTTTGTTTTCTTCTTTCCCCTTCTTGTGTCCACAGCATCTTTTCTTTCTTATCAATTATCAAAACAACACAGTGTAAAGAAATCTCCCATAAACCACTGAATATGGCCCAACCAAATAAAAATTACTCTCAAGAAATGCTGGAGGAAGCAGTGAAGCTGGTCCAGTCCAAGAGTATGACACTATATGGTGCTTCAAAAACGTTTAAAATTCCCCTCTCCAATGGGGCGCACCCATGAAGACGTGCGGCAAAAGGTGAAGGAAATATTAGACCTGTGAGGAGCGTCAGTAAGGAGAGAAGATGGCCTTCCTGGTAGGGACTGGGTGACCAGTTTAAAAAAACGTCACCCAGGACTTAGCCTCCGATCCCCTCAAGCTCTTGGCAAGGAGTGAGCCCTAGTGCAGGAGAAGGACATTAGGGACTGGTTCTCCGAAATGAAAAATATCTCGACTCTCGAGACCCAGCCCTCCTCAAAAGCCCAGATAGAATCTTCAACGCAGATGAGACTGGTTTCACTTTCGCACCTGTCTCCAAGCGAGTCCTGGCCCCAGTGGGCATGAAGCATGTGTATAACATCTGCAATAACACGAAGAATCAGATAACAGTGTTGGCATGTGCATCAGCTGCTGGGGAATACGTGAATCCCCTGCTGGTTTTTCCAAGGAAAAGAATGCCCTCAACCAACTTCCTTGTTGGCTTCAAGGACGCGTTCATGCAGCTATCAAGCAATGGATGGGTGAACGTTACGATCTTCCACACCTTCATAAAGGATGTAGGCCTATTTATACCATTCATCGCGGAAAAGCCAAAGCCAGCCGTCCTTTTCGTCGATGGACACACAAGTCACAACAGTGACATTGGCACGCTCGAGATGTGTGAGGAGCATGACATCATACTCTATGGCCTTCTTCCTCATGCCTCTCATATAATTCAGCCTCTAGACCTATCGGTATTCGGTTCCATGAAGGCAAGATGGTCGGTGGTGGTGAAGCAGCATCTGGAGGAGACAGGGGAAACGCCATCAGCGGCCAATTTTTCGCACCTGTTGAAAAAAATGTGGGAGCATTGTGCCAGGCCAGAAGCCAGCCTGAAAGGTTTCAGACGTTCAGGCATCTTTCCTTTTAACCCACAGAGCCCTCTGAAAAGTGGCAAAATGGAGGCCCTGAAGGTACCTCAGTAACTCCTGATATTCCTCAACAAACTCAAACACCACCAAGAACCTTGCCACCACTGTCAACAACCCCTTCATTGTCATCAGCATCCACTTCAGGACTGCAGACAGACTCTTCACTAATGCCACGGGCCTCTCCACCACCACCAGCAGCGACTCCACCACCACCAGCAGCGACTCTACCTCCACCAGCAGCGACTCCACCACCAGCAGCAGCGACTCCACCACCAGCAGCAGTGACTCCATCACCTCCAGCAGCAACTCCACCACCACCAGCAGCATCATCGACACCTCCTGCTGTTCTTCCATCACTAACACCAGCGACTCCATCTCCAGTACCTACTCTCCAACCACCACCAGCCACCCAAGCCACTCCTCTACCACTAGTACAGTCCACATCCCAAGCCACCTCTACAGCTACTGCCCTCCCTCAGGTGGCTACAACCAAGCTCGATGCCGTCAGTTCCCTTCTGCGCCTGTCCTCCATGTTAGGCCTCATCAGATGTGAAAGCTACCTGGATATGCTGAAGGAAAGAAAGATGTCAGAGGACAAAGAATTTCAAGAATTTCAGAGGACACTGGTGGGAGCAGGTGTACTCGAGGCTCAAGACCAGGGCATCCCAGCCTCATCTGTTCCCTCCAGACGCAAAAGCTTGGATGACCTGTTTGCCCCACCCCAACTACCAAAGAACAAGAGGGGCACAGCTTCCAAAAAGAACATCTCATTGACCATGGCCTTCAGTTCAGATCAGTACAGGAACTTCTTACAAGGAAAGGAAGACAAGGCCAGGATGGAGAAAGAGATGAAAGAGAGAAGGAAGAAAGATCGAGAGGAAGCAAAAGCAAGGAAAGAGCAAGAGAAGAAGGAGCGTCAGGAAAAAGCTAGAGTTGAGCGAGAGAGAAAGA